AGGACTTAGGTCTTTGGTCGCTGGGTTTTTTTTGATTAGTTGAGAGAGTTAAGCGCTAGCATAATTCCAAAAAATAGCGTAGGTTTGAAAGATTCACTGCCATTATATACTTATGTATTTAATGGCATTGAATCTTTTAAACCTGCGTAAAAACCAGCAAAAACTGTCTGATAACTGTCCTGATTGAGCTACATTATTATTTAAACAGATTTTAGTATTATTTCTTTAGACTTTTTTTTAGTTTTAATTTTATGGTAAAAAATTTTAGCTTGTTAAAAGTGAGTCATAAATATAAAAAATTACGGTAAACACTAATATTTAACACAAAGGTATAATATATCTTGAAATAATGAATGGTGTTTAAAACAAAGATCAAAGCATATCATTTACACAAATATTCTGCTTTTCTCTGTTTTATTAGAGAAAATATTTCAATTACTTTTTGATTAGACTGATCAATATCCTGCAATTAACCATTATGTATTGAAAGTACAGCTAATGTATTCAACAGATCTAGACCTGTGGAATTTCTCAAAAGTGTCTTAATTTGTTTTAAAGTACTAAAATAACGTTCACCATTAGCTGTAGCCACAGGTGAGATCAAAAGAATCTTTATCAAATTTGATACTTCAAAAAATATTTCAACCAATTTATTTTCATGCACAAATTGGGTTAGGACATTAATGATGCCGATATCACTAAAAACAGCATTTTAAATACAAAACGGGTAATTTGGACATCAATTTAACTTCACTTAGCATTGGATCCTTTGTCAGAACATTATTTTACATGATCTCGAGGAAAATTTTGTCTATTAAAATTGAAATTTTTCGGGTCCAACATCGAAAATGATTCAAATATTTTAATGCTTCTAAATGTGTCGCTAATTTCGTGAATAACTTTATCACAAGCATTTTTAGCATCTTCTATTAGTAGTTCAATTAACGTGTTTTGTTTCCTTCGGTTTTCAAGTATTTCCTCGAAATCGTTAAGAATCGATCCAGGAGCATTATCAGTGATGCTATTTGATTTAAATTTATGGATAAATCAAATTTTTCAAATGCTTCCTTGATTGTAATAGTGTTACTGTTTCTTGATTGCAATATACTGTAAAGTACATCAATATTTTTTAAAGTTGAATCAAAAAAAGATTTAAAAAAATTGTACTCTAAATCTTCTAAACATTATTTGAAGCCAATAGATTGCCACACGCTTGTATCGTCCTATCCTTCATCGTTTATAATTTTATTAAAACATTCTACAAACTTTACTTTGTTTTCTTTTAGGCAATTAACTATTTTTGAACGAAAATTGCATTGTGTTTTGCAAACTCTTGGTATCTGTTTAAATTAATCTGTTTAATTTCGCGAAGTAAATCATTTCGTTTTGGTGAGGATGTAAAGAATACACCAAACCCACTTAAAATCCATAATAAGCCTGTGCAATTATTTTTTCTTTGAAACCAAAACAATTTAGTTCTTATTTTAATACGTTTGTATTAAAATAAGAACTAAATCAATAAATGCTATAAATCTTTCAACTGGTTGATTACTTTTTAAATAACGCAAAATAATGACGAAAAACCGTGAACGAAAAGATACATAAATTGTTTTATCTCATCGCAAGGAAACATATCTTGTTTTATCAATCTCACATTTAATTTCTTCTATATATACTTTATATATACAGTCTAAAATGTCATTTTGGTTTGCTTTTGTAGTATTTTATGAATTTTTCAAAGATGATTGCTAAACGCACTATCTAATGTATGTAAGTATGAGACCATATCTATAAATACCCCCAATTATTTGAGCCAATAGTTTTGTCATGTCCTCTTAAGAAAACTAGTGCACACCACAAAATTTTAAACAATCTATGATCCTCGATAAGGTATGTCTGTAGTAGTCAACTCATGCTTTATGTTTTTTATGCTAAGAACCGTATCCAGTATCAATTCTCAATAAAATGTTTGTGTTTCCGAGCATTTGAAACAGCAACGAATTACTTATATGTGTTTTACTAGATTCGTGTTTTTACATTCGCTCAGAAAGATGTTTCATATCTTTACAGCCATACTCTGTCCACAAGGTCTCGCCACCAAACAAAACACAATAAAAACAAAACAACTAACTTTTTTCATCACTTACACTTAACCATGTTTTTTTTTCAAACCATGCTACACAAAATGTTCGTTTTTTTTTACCATCAACTTATATCAACTTATCAAGTTGATATAAGTTGTATAAATACGAACTTGTTTTGGTTGGTATGCCCCGAGATTTTTGATTTCTAGTTTTTTTTTTGAAGGCCCAATGACGAGAAACGTTTAGCCAATAAACTGTCAATTTTGTTCATGTTAGTATATCTAATTAATGATCCTAAATTATTGTAATAAGATAAGTAATCGTCCACAAATTACGTAACGCAAACTTTCACAACAAACAAAACAAAAAAGATCAAAAGTTTTCCCTCGCAGAGTCATAATTTAAATATAAAATCACAATACCCCTTTAAGTTTAATTAAAATCGCTGCGTAAAAGAGCTTAATATCACCTAGTTCTGTTTTTTAAAAATATTTAGCGTTGCGTAACTTATGGAATAACTTTAAATTATATTGTAACTAGAATGACGAATGGCATAAGTTAAAGCGAATTTTATCAGTACTTTAGTCAAGAAGGGCTCTTAATCTTAAAATAACCATCAATAAAATAATAACGAATGTAAAATTACATATACATTGAGTTCTCTGATAGGTTCACATAAAGTTTTCTGCGAATGGCGGAAGAGTCAACAACAACAAAAAAGATAAATTTACAACATTAAAAAAACTTTTAATTTAATTCATACGCATATTTTAGTTAATAAAATCCATAATTCTTAAATACAATATTTACAATGTCAGTCATAAATAATAGTAAATTTCATAAGATTATTTACATTGTTAAAGATGCTTTAACAGATTCATGTAATTACAAGTAAAAACTTAACATCTGTTTGCATACATAACAGTACTTAAATGTTTATATAATTTTAGTTCTTTGCCTTGAGCTTTAACCCCCCTCCCCAAAAAAAACAACAAAAAAACAAAAAAAAAACATTGTAAAACATCTCAATAAAAGATTATGATTCTTCTATTTCTATGGTAATGGTAAATGTTCAACATTGTGAAATATTCTAAACTATGTATATTTTTTTAATTAGTATCTTTTTGGAAGTATTATGAAGCTGTATTATGAAATTCAACAATACCACCAATGGTACAGTTTTTGCTATTGAAAATTTTTTTTTTATATCTTCTATAATTTTAGATGTACTTGAGGTGTCCCGGATAACATTTTATAATATCCGACCGGATATTTAAAAATTATCCGGCCGGATAATGCAATTCAAATCCTAAAATATATATTACAATGACAAAATATTTTTATTTTACTTAGTTTAGATGCCCCAAGATGTCCGTAGGTCTTACCACGGGCACCGCGGTGGAGTATTTAAAAGGAAGTTCACAAATCTCTGGCTTCTGAGGCATGTGCGCTAACCAATGCGCCACGGCTGCTCAATATTGCTACGATAAACCTTGAAAATGACAAGTTTTTGAAAGCTTTTCAAAATTAATGATAGTTGTGATTCCCCAGCAATTTGCATGTGGAAAGCAAATAAATAGAGGATGTAATAAATCTGGTCAGAAATCATTTTCAACAACTCCACTGCATATTCACCCCAAAAAATTTTATTATAAGTTTCATGAAGAGGAAAAAAAAGTTAACATTGAATCTTCTTCAGCTGCACAAGAAAGTTCAAAATATATTTAATTCTGATAAAGTCTTTCTTGTAAAAGCTGCCCAAGAAGTCGATGTTTTCTTTAATCCCTCAAATATGGAAAAAAATAATGACGTTTTAAATTATTAGAAACACGAAGAGGAGTTTCCGCTGCTAAAAGAGTTTGCACTTAAGTTACTAGCACCACCTGTATCCTCTGTATTTTTAGTATTATTTAGAATATAATACATAAGCTATTTGGAAAAAACATATTTTAGCAATCCCTTATTGAGAATGGAACAAGAATTTTAAAAGTAGTTTCTTGTGTCACAATATATAAACTTGCTAAACATTGTCATACATTTGCTATACAATTGTTTAATTAATATACAAATCAAGATCATCATTAATATGGCTGAGCCACTATTTTTTCACTGTAAAAAAGAAGCAAGCGTTAACATTTTTTGAAAAATAAAACAATATATACCTGAAAGATATAGTTCACTGACAAAAATTATAAAATGTGCAAGATTGTTGATTGTAAAAGAAATGTGAAATTTCTCCATGATATTTTAAAATCACTTTTTTCAAACTATTTTCAATTTCCTTAGAATTTCTAAACCATTATTATTCCTGTTTATAATTATTGAATAATCTAATTTCTGAGAATTAAAAAAGTAATTTCTTGTAACTCTTTAAATGTTTATGACTGTGAATAATATAATAACTTTACTGTCAATTTTATTCACAGTAAAATTGAATAATAACAAATGTATGTTTACAACATTATTTTTATAAATAAAATGTATAAATTTTAATGTTATAAAGTTTCCTAATAATAATGTACCTTATTGAGTCAACATACTCTCGAGTGCCGAATACAACGGGGGTGGGAATAAACGGGTGGGTGGGAATTTTAGTCAAAATCTAATAAACGGGGGTGTTTTAATAAAGGATGGGGGGGGGGGGGGGAGATGAGAGAATTTTTCTGAAGTTTAATAAACGGAGGTGGGGATTTATATTAGGAGGAGGATTTTATCTACAAAATAAATATGCAGGTTTTTTTGTTTAAAAAAAAAGAACATCTTCTAGTTCTAGTAAACAGAGAGCATAGTTCAAAAATTCAGCATAGTTTTCTTTGCGAACGGACGTAAATATTTCTTAAAAGTAAACTTAAAAATTTATAAATATATATCTACAGATTTATATATTTATACTTAAAAAATATAATTAAATTAAATATGGCAAGCAAAAAAGACATTGAAAGTATGTTGGAAGAAAAATTTAAAGTACAAGAAAATTCAATTCTAAAGATTATTTCTGGAAATGCAACAATTCAAAATGAAAAAATGGATAAAATCTTAAAATCAATCGAGTCAATAACTAAACGGTTGTTATTAGTAGAAGAAAAACAAAATACTTTACAACAAACTGTTGAACCCTTCAGAAAAGTATTGAGTTCACTCAGGATACTTTGATCGATGAAAAAATTATATCTCTTAATAAAGATTTAAACAAAGTTATTAATAGCGAAATTGCAACGTTTCAAATAAAACCGTTTACGTACAAGAAAATCTAGACGAAGCAAAAATCTTATGCCACGAGCTAAAAGAAAATATGAGAATATTTGAAGACAGAATTAGAATAAAAAATATAAGAATTTACGGATTACTAATGATTATTAATGAACAGCTTCAGCTAAAAAATATAGTAATAGAAAGGGCACACAGAATTGGAAAAGTTTATAATAATATGGATACCCCAAAAACTGTTATACTTAAACTGTTAAATTATAAAGATAAAGAACTAATCTTGAAAAATGCAAAGAAACTAAAGGGAAAAGGGATCTTTATAAACGAGGACTTTTCGGAAGAAACAAATAAAATACGACGTAATCTTATTGAGAAAATGAAGATTGCAAGAAATTCCGGAAAATATGCAGTTTTAGCATATGATAAACTGATTGTGAAGGAGTTAAATCAGAACACTAAATAAGTATCTTTATTCTTTTTTCTTTATATTTAGTTTTTTTTATTAATTTTTAAATGGAGGGCAACTTGCAATTAAAATATTCTCCTGAAAATTTAAGTCTCAGTGATAAAGATACATATACAAAATATTTTAATCAAATAACATATGAAAGTAATTACTACTCAATTTCCCAAACCGCAAAATATTTTCACCAAAACAAAGTCTCATTTTCAATATTAAATATTAATATACGAAGTCTTAACAAAAACTTTGAAAATTTTAAATTTTTACTTGACGAAATAAAACACGATTTCGGCATTATTTGTTTTACAGAGACTTGGTGTAAATGTGAAAAAAATCCACAATTTGAATTAAAAAATTATACATCTGTTCACCAACCGCGTAAAATTTATTATTATTTTATTTATTTAACACCCAATTTACAAGGTAAAAAGAAAAAAATAAGAAAGTTATTTCGGATGACTTTGCTTAAAAACGTTTTCTTCCAGAATTTGCTTGAAAACTCCTCTTTGCTCTTTTGCATTCCAGCACTCTATTGCATACTTCAAGTTTCGTTCAACTTCGGAAGGAATTTTACTTTTAGAAAGTGGTATTTTTACCTTCTTTTTATTTTGAATTAGGTTTTGAAAATTTAATATCTGAAGATAGCATAGTTCCTGAATATCACTAACAAACGAATGTTGAAATAACGGGTGTTGCAGTTGTGAAAAGATAATGTCTGCAGTTGTTTTGTTATTAAGAAGTCGAAGGAACAAGTTTAACTTATTTTGTTAAACACTTTTTGAAATTTCCTGGATTTTAAATAACGAATTCATATAGTTTTTACTATGTTTTGAAACATTTAAAAACAATTTTAGCGCACTCCTTCCAATTATATCTAGCTTTTTCATCAGACCAGGATTATTTTCACATAGCTCCATACCATAAGTTAAGGTGGGGACTGCCAATGATTTATATATATAGGAAATAGAACTGGGGTGGGCAAACCGGATTCCAGATTGAATAAGAGTTTGAACAACAGCTCTAAAGTTTAATATTTTTTCATCAACATTTGAATAACCGAGTGAAGCAAAAACTGAATGTTTAGTATTCCATGTGAATCCCAGATGTCTAAGTTTATTCTGAAGATTTTTTTTATTACCAGAAATTGTTATTGTATTAGTTTGTATTTGGGCTTTACCTGAGATCAAGAACTCAGTCTTTTCGGCATTCAGTTTAATACAATTTAGATTACTGTAAATATTGCATGTTTTTATAAGCTTTTTGAGACCAGATAAGGTAGAGCTTAAAAGTATTATATCATCCGCATAGGCTACCACACCAGTAAAGTTGCCGTTTATAGATGTGCCAACAATACCCTGATTTTTAATAGTTTCGAGAAGACTTTCAGTGTAAATATTATAGAGGTGAGGCGAAAGAATTGATCCTTGTCTTACTCCTTGGTTTAGAGGAAAAGAGTTTGATTTACAACCTTGATATGAGACTGTTGCGCTACTATTGTTATACAACGAGGAGATAGTGTTAACTATACATAGTGGTAATTTTTTATCGAAATATAATTTTTCAAATAGGATATTCCAGTTACAGCTATCGAAAGCTTTTTCTGCATCTAAAGAACATAGATACACAGGGGAATGGTTGCTGTTGTAATGTTTAATTGTTTCGCTTATTAGAAATTCAGCATGTAGCGTTGAAGAGTTAGCATTGAATCCAAATTGTAGGGAGTGAGTATCTCTAATATCTGGACATATAATTAAGATCAGGTATTCTAGAACCTTTGTAAAAATTGGTATAATACTAATACCACGATAGTTGCTCGGGCTATCTAAAGACTTTTTGTACGATTTAACAAGGGGTACAATAGTTGACGTCGACATTGATATTGGAGTCGATCCATAATTAATGGAGTAATTAAAAAATTTGATGAGCCATTTTGTTAAAGTATCGCACTTTGCGTATTTCAAATGTTCTGCTGAGATACCGAAAGAGTCAGGAGATTTTTTTAATTTTAAATTTGAAATAGCCCCAATTATATTTTCTTCAGTTATTGTTACATCATCATGTTTTGTACACGGGGGAATTCTCTGATTTTCTTTACGATGAGTTATTTTTGGAGTATTCAGTACTCTTTCGAAGTGGTTTGCGAATTCTGAAGTAATAGATTCTTTGTCTTTTTTATTATTTATGGTAAATAATCTAGAGTTTATGTCTTTGTTTAAACATCTAAAAGCATTCCAAAAGTTTTTTGGTTTAGTATTTTTTAACTTTTCAATTTTAATATATTGTGCGCAAATTTTATTATTTTGAGCCGACTTGACGGCTTTACGAAAGTTTTTACGAGCCATTTGGTAACGGTTAAATGATACCGAGTTTAACTTTTTAGAAAAACCAGAATCTCTCCATTTTTTAAAATGAATTGAAAGAATAGTTTTAGACCGACTTAATTCAGGTGTCCACCAAGATTTTGAATACAAACATTGCTTTTTATTTTTTAAAGTCTCCTTAAAAGCTATTTGAGCGCTGTCAGTAATTTTTTTATAGATTTGGAGAAGGTCGTATTCATAGTCGTTAGTAAATTTATGCTGTTTATGCAGTTTATGCATTTATGCAGTTTATGCTGGAGGAGGCGTAAGTGTTTATATCCACAATTCAATCGACTTTATTTTGCGTAGGGATCTTAGTGAGAATGAAACAGATTGTGAGTCATTATGCATAGAATTAGTTAATAAAAACTCTAAAAACATAATCATAAATACTATTTATAGACAACCAGGTGGGAATTTTAAAACATTCAAAACTCATCTTAGCTCATTCTTAAACAAATTTAATAACGCACAAAAGCATGTTTACATAGTTGGTGATATAAACATTAATTTGTTAAAGCATACTTCTAATAATAGTGTTAAACATTTTGTTGATACTCTACTTGAGCACAATTTCATCCCAATAATTATCAAGCCAACCAGAGTAACTAAAAATTCTTCTACCTTAGTCGATAATATAATTCCCATGTTTTCACCGGTATAATTAAGACAGACCTTTCAGATCATTTTCCCACCTTCTTAACTACTAAAAAACATAGCACCAAACAATACCTCTCCCAAACCTCCTTTATACAAACGAGAGATCAATGAAAACTCCTTACAAAAATTTAAAAGTTTACTAAAAAACAATGTTGATTGGGATCTTATATTGCAATCAAGCGATGCGAACAACGCCTACAAACCTTTTCTAGGTCAATTTTGTAAATATTATGAAAAAGCGTTTCCAGTTAAAACTGTTGTTATAAACAAAAAGTCACTTCTAACTCCTTGGATGTCTAAGGTTTAATCAAATCCTCTAGAAAAAAACAAAAACTCTACGACAAATTCCTAAAAAATAAAACTTATAAAAATGAAATAACTTATAAAAATTATAAAAACTTGTTTGAAAAAACAAAACAATACTCAAAAAAGCTTTATTATTCAAATTTGTTAAAAAAAACCATGGCAATGCTAAGAAAACATGGAATTCGATTAAAGAGATAATCGGTAATAATAACTGTACAAAAAGCAATCTCCTGAAAAGCTTTTAATTGATGGTAAATTAGTCAGTGATAAGATAATATTAGCTGAATATCTAAATAGCTTTTTTCTTAATGTGGGTCACAATTTAGCAGCAGAAATTCCGTCGAGTTCTGCAACATTTCATTCTTACTTGATTAAGAACCTTACCACAGAAAAGATTATGAAAGAAACACATCTAGATTCTAATGAATTGCGATCCGCTTTAAACAATCTAAAAAACAACAAAAGTGCTGGCTTTGATAATATCAGTAGCTTTGTTGTAAATTCAGTATTTGATATCATTGAACCATCATTGCACCACATCTTCGATCTTTCGCTAAAATCAGGCATTGTCCCGGATAAACTAAAAATTGCTCGAGTCACCCCTATTTTTAAATCTGGAGATGATTTTGATACTAATAATTATAGACCTATATCAGTTTTACCATGTTTTTCCAAATTACTAGAACGCGTCATGTATAATAGACTTTACAATTGACGGAAAACAATTTTTTATACGGTAAACAATTTGGATTTAAAAAAAACCACTCAACAGATCATGCTATAATTGAGCTAGTTAATCAAATATCTAATGCTTTTAGTAATGATTGCTTTACGCTAGAAGTTTTTATTGATCTTTCTAAAGCTTTTGATACCGTAAATCACGACATTCTTCTAAAAAAACTTGAAGTGTATGGAGTAAAAAATAATAACTTACTTTGGTTTAAAGATTATTTATCAAACCGAAAGCAACATATTCAGCATGAAACAACAAAAACAACAAATAGCGCCATAACTTGCGGGGTTCCCCAAGGCTCGATCTTGGGACCATTGTTATTTTTACTCTATATAAATGATTTACATTCAACATCAGACTTATTAAATTTAATCTTGTTTGCGGATGATTCCAATTTGTTTTATTCGTATAGAGACATTAAGACACTTTTTAACATAGTCAACAAAGAATTACATAAAATAAACGAGTGGTTTAGGTGTAACAAACTCTCTTTGAATGTCAAAAAAACAAAGTTCATCCTATTTCATAAACCATATAAAAACGAAAATATTCCTCTTAAACTACCTGATCTTAAAATAAATAATACTAATATAAAAAGAGAAAATTTTATAGACTTTCTAGGTGTGGTCTTGGATGAAAATTTGTCGTGGAAGCTCCATATAAACACTTTAGAGAGAAAGCTCTCAAGAAATATTTCATTAATGTATAAAGCAAAACCTTTCCTAAATATCATTTCCTTAAGAAGTTTATACTTTTCATTAATACATAGTCATCTAAGCTATGGTAACATGGCCTGGGCAAGCACAAACTGTACTAAGCTTAAAAAACTCTACAGTAAACAAAAACATGCCTGTAGAATAGTCTTCGGAGTAAGTAAAAAAGCGCTAGTGAACCTCTCTTATGCAAACTTGGAGCATTGAATATATACAAAATTAACATAC